CTACCACGAAAGAACGGAACAGAGGAAGGGATAAATAGTGATATACTGAAAATGGTGCTACCTGTGATAAAAGATGAGTTTGTAGGAGTAATAAATGATTCGCTTAGGACAGGTAAATTTCCAGAAGGATGGAAAACATCCACGATAATACCGATACCAAAGGTAAACAAACCAAAAAAAGCGAGCGAGTATAGACCGATTAATATGTTACCGATATATGAAAAAGTATTAGAGTTAGTTGTAAAAAAACAGTTGGAAAAATTTCTAGATGACAATGAAATAATAACCGAATACCAATCGGGATTTAGGAAATAGCAGTCGTGTGAGACAGCAATTCAAAGTTTTATCGAAAAATGGAAGTTGATAATTGAGGAGAAAAAAATGGTGGGGGTGTTATTCCTGGATCTCAGGAGAGCGTTTGAGACAATAGATAGGGTAAAATTAGTGGAAAAATTATATCAGTATGGAATAAGAGGAGTGGTACTGGAATGGATAAGATCGTATTTAAGTAATAGAAAGCAGCAAGTTAGATTCAATGATATGTGTTCTAAAATAATTGAGACAGTATATGGCGTGCCACAGGGATCAGTATTAGGACCTCTATTGTTTATTTTGTATATAAATGATATAGTTAAAGTCTGTCCGGAGGGAAGTATATTTAGATTATTTGCAGATGACACGACCGCAAGTGTAACAGGAGAAAGTTGTGAGGAAATAGAAATAAAACTAAATATGGTGCTCGGTATACTTGAAGAATGGATGAATGTGAATATGTTAAAAATGAATGCAGATAAGACCAAATATATGATAGTTAGAAGTATAAGGAAAGAAATAAAAACAGACATAATAGTAAAAAGTTTGAATGGAACTATAATTGAGCGTGTCGAGATAACGAAACATCTGGGTGTAATGATCGATAGTAAACTCCGTTGGGAGAATCACTGTGATTATATGTTAAAGAAAATAGGGAAAAAAGTGAGTTTTCTGAACAGAATAGGAAATGATATATCGGCGTACACTCGATGTACTGTGTATAAGTCTATCATAGCACCTCACTTTGAGTATTGTGCAACGTTATTAATTGGTATGGGTGACACATTACTGAATAGGCTACAAGTTGCGCAAAATCGAGCTATGAGGGTTATACTTCAATGTGATCGACGTACCAAGGTAGACCTGATGCTGCAAGCACTCCAGTTTATGAATATAAAACAGAGATTATTATATAATGTATGCATTTTTATTTTTTAAATAATAAGAGGAATAATGCCTAGACAATTAGGTAACAAAATAGAAATAGTAGGTGATGTGAGTAACAGACAAACAAGACAGGCTGAGAATATTGTGGTGCGGTTTCGTAGAACGAGGGGCGGACAAAAGAGTCTATTCTATGAAGGTCTAAATATGTATAACGCCCTACCATTTGATATAAGGCAATGCGAGAGGATCGAACAATTTAAGCGGAAGTTACAAGTATATATTATACCTCATGTAGAGGAATTATTGTAAGATTATGTGTTGTAAAAAATAGCCGAGAAGGCTAATAAAGATCAATTCATCCCTCTCCCTCTCCCTTTCCCTCTCCCTCTCCCTCTCCCTCTCTCTCTCTCTCTCTCTCTCTCTCTCGTAAGTATCAATTGTGCCACGCTGTGTTCTTGCTCCTGCTTCGAGTTGATCTATTTTCTGCCGTGAGCTGCCTTCGGGCCTTTTTGTTGCAGATCTAAGCAAGTTTTTCGTTGCTTGTCACGAGCCTTATTCTTTTTCTCGAGGATTGCCACCTAAATCCGAGTATTTTCGTGACAAGCATCATTACTTATCATAACCTCTTTCTTGGAATCATTGTCCATTTCTCCGGATTGCCTGTATGAAGTGTCTTGCTGCGCATGCGCCTGCCTGTTGATCTCCTCTTTCTACACTTGCTATTGGGTCTGACGTGTGTGCTCTCTCTTTCAGCGCATGTGTTACCATCGGAGGGCTTAGCACGTGCTACCGCTTGTTATCATCTGTGGCTTTTGCACGTATTACCTTCTGCTACAGACCGGATTGCCCAGCTGCATTTTTCGGGTTCTGATCCTTGACTTGCTTAGTGTATTACTTATGCAGTGCTACAAGTGTAAGAAGTCAATTGCGACTACTTCACTTGCATGCGAGTGCAACAAATTGTTTCATCCCGGCTGTGTCAAGTCGTATTCCCTGACCAGATACGCGGATCACTGTTGTAAAGCCTTAGCAGCGTTGCAGGTCTTACCTCTTACGCCGCAGACTGACAGGTGTGCACAATCATCTAATATCGATGATATGGCCTCTCCCTCAGGCACGCAACCACAATCTGCGGAAGTGCTGTTAACGTCTATACTGTCAAAGATGAAGGAATCTGACAAGAAATTGACTACATTTATGGAGGATCAACGAGCTAGGAGTGAGGAATCGAATAATAAATTGGCGGCTTTTATGGAGGAGCAGCGTAATATTAATAGAGAGATAAATAACAAACTGAGCAAGCTGAGCCTTATCGCAGAAACAGTTGCCCAAAACTCTCAGCGTATTACCAAGCTGGAGCAGGAGTGCTCGACTCAGGCGCGTGATATCCAGTCTCTAAAAACTGCTCAGGCGCGTGATATCCTGGCTCTAAAAACTGCTCGGCCCTTTGAGCGTTCTGAAGACGAAAATAAGTTAATTGTTTCTGGACTGCCTGCGGCGTCGTCGATTGCCCCGACTGAGCTTGTCGGCAACGTATTTAGTGTCCTAGATATACAGCATCTCTCCTGCCACATTCTTAACGTTAGACCCATGACACGGAAATCTCAACCCGAAGCAACTCCCGGCCGTTCCACGAAGACTGGTGACAGTGTTTCGCTTGTCGTCACCGTGGCGTCTGGTGCTGTCCGTGATATTGTGATCGCTAAAAAGCGCGACGCACGCTGAGGCAGAGGGATGATCGTGGCAATGACTCGGATCGGAGTGTACACGTAAATGAGTTGCTCCCTAAAAACATTTACGAATTGCTTCAACAGACGAAGCGTGTAGCTAAAGATAGATCTTACGCGTATGTCTGGGTGAGGGGTGGTCGTGTCCGTGTCAGGCGCTCTGACGGTGAGCCCGTAATTCTAATTTCTTCTAAGGCTGATCTCGACAAGCTTGTTTGATGTGTTGACACCAGTCACTCGGCCATTATCTGATCATGCTATATCTTCATTCACACATTGTTGCTCTGCTTCGGGGACCACTCAATTTTGCGTGGCCCAATTAACGCCAATTCTCTGCGTGGTCACATTAATTTCATCAGACTATATTTCAACGCCAACCACTATCATGTAATTTCTGTGTCTGAAACTTGGCTTCATGCAGGCGTTTCTGATGACCTTGTGGCTCTAGATAATTATTTTTTGTTACGTCATGACAGAGCGGGACGAGCGGGCGGAGGAGTAGCATGCTATATAAATAAATTGCTTAAAGTTAAAGTTGTAGCTGCCTCCAGTAATCTTAACGATAATTCACCTGAGTATCTAATTATTGAGATACGCTTTCCGGATGGTGAATCAGTACTATTTGCGTCCATTTACAGAAGACCTAAGGGCCTTCTCTTTCATGACTTTGTTGAGACATTAACTAGATACTCACACCTGTATAAGAATGTAATGATCGAAGGTGACTTGAATTGTAATTTATCATCGACCAGTTATGAGGCGAACTACTTGCGTGAGCTTATGTCCAGCTTATCATTACACATTATTAATTCAGAACCTACCTATCACACGGCTACCTCAGACTCATGGCTCGATGTTTTGATTATAGATGATGCTGATAAGCTTTTATCTTTTACTAAATCTCAGAGTCCTTTCATAGCTGGTCATGATATGATTATCTATGTTACTAAATTCAAATTCGATGTCTGAGCGCACTATTTCGCGGCGTAACTACAGGGGTATTGACTGTTCTGAGTTCTCAGATTACCTGGTGTCCATTGCTGGTACAGTGCGAACTGAAATTGATAAAGTGTCTAATGACGCTGATGTTGATAGATTCTGCGAAGTGATGTCTCGCAACCTGTTAAAGGCACTGGATATTTTTGCTCCCACTCGTGTATTTGTGTTTGAAAAACATAGACAACGAGTCCGATGCACCTAAAATACAGATCAGATTATCAAAGATTGGTATTCGGATGACGAGGACGATGATGATGATGACGAGGGAGGTAATCTTACTATAGTGGATAGTTCGAAAGACGAAATCGAGCCTATCGAGAAGACGCAAAACCTCGTTATCAAGGAGGAGTTCCAGCCTGCGACATCCGTGTCCAACGTACCCCAGCCGGCCGCTATTTTGGACAAATTAGGTGACCTGAGCAAAATTGATATCAGTGCCGAAGTATCCAAATTGCTTTCTACTCTGAAGGCTCAGAGCTCGGCGACCAACAAGACGCAAGCAAACTCGAATCAAGACGCGTCGAAAGCTAAATCGGCGCAAGATCCGAAGACGGATAGCGAGACGTCGTCGAGTCCGAGGCGATCACCAGAAATTGTAATTTATTGCAAAATAAACGCATCTCATAATTTTCGGTAAGTTTCATATACAGTTTAGGTGTAAAAATTCATTATTAAAACATTTTCTTGATTTGTTAATTTTCTCGAATAATACTTTATTATTTGTATGTATCATTGAATATTTTTCACTTATTTTGATATTTGATGTTTGCGCTGTTTGGCCATTCTTTAACGTTTTTGCAATTAATTCATACAATTCTGAATGTGATTTTAATTCGAGAAGACTGCATTAGATTGAATTACATTTGTCTTTTCACAGAAATGGATGATTTCGATTTGTTGTTAATTGCTCTGGTCAACATGGGAGCACTTTTGGTGCAACGTCGTAGAAACCGTGAACGTCATCGTCGCCGTCGGCGTGTCTGGGTACGACCAATTAACACAAGGAGAAGACAGCAAGGAGCGTTTTACAATTTTTTTCAGGAGATGAAAACAGATGAGCAAATGTTCCACAAGTATACACACTGCCAACATTCCAGCACTTGATGAACATTGTTAATCCAAGTTTAATGAAACGAAGTCCACGGGCACTTGAACCAGAGCAAAGAGTTGCTTTTACATTGCGGTATATGTTCGGATTACTCGTAGTCTAACAATACATATGTGTAAAAACAGTTTGGCAATTAATATTATAATATTGATAATGATGTTACAGATTTCTGATTGGAGACAAAGTTCCAGCAGTTGCTTTTGCCTATCGTGTTAGTTTATCAACAGTACATAAAATAATTAAAGAGACGTGTGACGTATTTGAAAGACTTCTTGGTCCTATCTATCAACGAACTCCTTCAAGAGAAGAATATTTACAAATTGCTGAGGGTTTTTGGACATTATGGAATTTTCCACATTGCTTGGGGGCAATTGATGGAAAACATGTCGATGCTCAATGCCCCCCTAATTCTGGTACGCTGTACTTTAATTATCACATACGATACAGCATCGTACTTTTGGCTGTGTGTGATCACAATTATCAATTCACTTTGGTGGATATTGGGTCAATGGGGAATAACAGTGATGCGGGAATTTATGGGAACAGCTACTTGAATGTGACGAATGAGATGCTGGATATTCCAGAAGGAACCAGTTGCTTAAGCGGAACCGATATACAAGTGCCTTATTTTTTTATTGGGGATGAAGCATTCCCCATTGGAAAGCATTTGATACGGCCATATGCTGGACGGTATTTGGGGGAACACAAAAACATATTTAATTATAGACTTTTGCGAGCCCGGCGTATAATAGAAAATACATTTGGGATTTTGGCAAAAAAGTGGGGTATATATAACAGACCGATCGCTGCGATTCCTGAAAATATCAATAAATATATTTTGGCAACTGTATGTTTGCACAATTTCTTAAGAAACAAAGAAGGTAATATTTTACAATTTGAAAACAATGATGAAATTATTGAAAATAACGAAAATGGTGCATTTGCGACGTACATTAAAGACTCTCTTTGCAATTATTTTATGACTCCAAATGGAATGGTCAATTGGCAGCATGATTATGTAACGAGAGGACAAAATCAAGACTTTATCTACACGTAAACATTTGATCGATTGATTACACACGTGTCATATTGTGAAATGTAATGCTAATATGTATTTATTATGTGAATATAAAATAAATAGTACAAAATTTCTTTAATATTATTATTATTAATATTATTATATACCAGTACACATATGTATATGTTATTACTAAAATTAATATCGCACAATCTTAAGACATGAGTATTATATGTATCTACGAATAAATGCAAATTATTTATTTTATCACAAAAATTATCTCGCTCACAGGTTTTCCTTTCTCCACAAAATTTTCATGATTTCTTGTTTCTTGACTTGTTTTATATCATCATCCAATTGTTTTAATTTTGCCATAACCAGATTGCAAAATGAAGTGTCTGGGTCATTCTGCATTTGTGCACCATCTTTTTTAGAATTCAAATGCTCTGCAACTGCTTGATTCAAATTAATAAAAGACGTTTCGAACTTATTGTTTTCGAAAGATCACCAGGCAATAAAACTTGACACGTTATTGAAGTTGACAAAACGAACGACGAAAATGCGTTAATTTAAGTCGCTAGGTTAAAATTGTATTTATACGAATAAAAATTTATATATATATATATATATATTATTATTGATACAATATGTTCGCGCGAATATGAAATTTTGTATTAATTATTAAAAACTTGATTGTCATTAATTGATAGATTAAAACTTAATTATGTAATTTGACGGTTGCGCTGATACCTAAGAATTTAAATTCGTGGAAATTATTACTAGTAAAAATCACGAATATGCATATACAAAGTAACTGACTGGTGAAAGAGTAATTCGACTGACAATAACAATGTTTATTTATATTAATTAATAATAAAACATATTATCAAAACTTATTATTGTCGATAAAAATTAAAAACTGGACAGATAACGAAGTTCGACAGATGCACTGTCTTCGGATACTTCTGCACTAATATCAATTTTGCTCAGTTCACCTAATTTGTTCACAGTAGCGGCCGGCTGGGGTACGTTGGACACGGATGTCGCAGGCTGGAACTCCTCCTTGATAACGAGAAATCAAGAGAATGTTTTAATAATAAATTTTTACACCTAAACTGTATATAAAACTTACCGAAAATTATGAGAAGATGCGTTTATTTTGCAATAAATTACAATTTTTGGTGATCGCCTCGGACTCGACGACGTCTCGCTATCCGTCTTCG